ATTCCAGTCAACTCTTGAAATCAAACCAACACCACCAACAATAATAGCCTGGGACTTAGTAGGGTAAACAATGAGACCATAGATTTTACTCCATTCACTGATAGCGGCCAGGTCATCATTGATGGCGGAAACAGCAGTAGGCAAGTCTTCAAGAGTTGACTGTGTGTACACTTGGAGATCGTCTGCATACATGTGATAGAGAGAAGTGATTTTTTTGAGAAATTGAATTAATGAATACGGCAAATAGAAGAGGAGACAACACACCACCTTGAGGCACTCCGGTGCGCAATTCACACCAAGACGAGAATTCATCTTCTATGCGAATACGCTGCCGTCGGCCACTTAAATAACTTTGAAACCAGCCAATCACTAGTGGAGATATGTTAATAGAACGTAACACACTCAACAGAATGTCAAAATCGACGGTATTAAATGCATTACTAAAATCTAGTAACACAAGTACAGTGAGCTGTTTATTATCCATACCCCGTCGAATGTCATCAGTAACTTTAACCAACGCTGTAGTCGTACTATGACCTGATCGGAAACCGGATTGAAGAGGATTAAGAAGAGAATTTTTGTTCAGATAGAGATTTAACTGTTGGAAAACTAGTTTCTCTAGAACTTTAGACAGGAACGGGAGAATAGAAATAGGACGAAAATCGGAAAATTGCAATGCATGGGCTTTCTTAGGGAGAGGAGTCACTTGAGCACTTTTCCAAGCTTCGGGAAATTTGAATGAAGAGATTGATGCGTTAAGCATATGGGTGATAATAGGAGTAATAAAGTCAAGGATAGGTAAAATCATATTACGACTAACGTTGTCGTCACCAACGGCATTAGACGAGATTGATAATATGTTCTTCTTAACATCACACTCAGTGAAAGGAATGAAATTAAACGGTGGAAATTCAGGAGCTGGCATGGAAGAAAGAATGTTCAGAGTGCGCGACTTATCTGAAATATCTAAGGAACTAGAAGAGGTGAAATATTCATTAAGGAGTTCAATATCTATATTATGGTGAAGCAAACTAGAAGACGCTTTACCAACTCCAAGAGATTGAAGAAATTTCCAAACTTTGGCAGGGTCGCCGTTTTCGACAGATTTGTGAATGTGGCGTCGTTGTGCATATTTTATTATTATATATTGTATATATTGTATATTTTATTAACACATTTTTATTAGTTTAACGCCAACGCCTTCGTAACATTGAATAATTTAGATCGCGCACTCGTTCGACGTGCAAACACGCCGCGCCGCATCGTAAAAACAAACAATAACGCCGCTTTTTGCGCCGCGGCCGGGCCCGTACAGGCGGACCGACCATATGACGGTGGCGGCAAATGACCGCCACCATTCATCACGTCACCGCAAATAGCGCACTTTCATTCGCCACGACGCGGCTCAGGGGCCTACACCGTCCATATACGGCCCTTACACCGTCCCAATAGGGCTGCTTTCGTCCCGACCGCGGCGGACCTTCTTAGACCTTCTTATGGGACCCGTAAAATACGATATTTTACACAAAGGGGGCCCGCGGTCGTAATGATCGGCGGTTAATATTTGTCTTCCGGCTTGCTTTAGGTAATGAAGCATAATTGGTTTATTAAGGCTCCTCTCGCCACTTGCTCGGTGTGAAGTGAATTACACGCTCTAGCTTCGACGAACTTCCGGTCTTGAATATATTTTTTTATCGCAACGCATTCTCTAGCGAAGCTTTCGACTTATGTCGATAATATAATAATAACGTAATATAATAATAAAATAAAATGCAACTGTACATATATGCAATATTATGTATGTCTGTAATTATGAAAAATGTTAATTATAATTTTAAATGCTGACTTATCATGTGCTCAGCGGTGAAGGCATTTGCCTTGATGAAACCTACTTATTATATACATATTTTTTTAAATAATGAGAACGATTTTTGGAAGATTTGCGAAGACCGTCAGTGCGCAGTGGGGTTGTTGTGGTCAACTCTGCCTTAATACCCTCTGTACAGAGAACTGCTCAACATTGGTTATATTCAAGTCATATTCGAGTCTGCCGTGAAATATTACAATTGGTATTCCGTAAACGCCACAAAGCGAAAGGCTTCTAAAAAGCAGGCACTGTAAGTAAGCAAGCACTAGTACTGAAAGGAATGTTTTACAATAAACATGCGAAGCACTTCAACTAAGCAGTGTACAAAACAACTCGCTGACGTCATCGTTCGCCACGTAGCCGCCGCTGCGACGCGGCCGAGCGCGGATTAATTTTCGCCACAATTACGCGCTCGTGTTACTAATTGAGACATCAAAGGCGCCGTCGTTGGTTCACTGCTCTCGTGACAACACTTAATAAAGTCGCTTTGGATATATAGGAGAAGCTTCTCCCATTTACTCCCACTGAATAACTTAATTATAGTTTAATTTTTTTTGATGCTTTTTTTGAGTTCCACCTTATATTTGACATAGTATACATGACATAGTTAACAGACATGTTTTTTCGTGTTGGGAGCTTATGGTATCTCCGTTAGTGTCGTTTGATTTACGACATTACAAGGCCATCCTTATTACATGATTTAAGGTTATAATGATTTTTGTTAGATTTGATAGATTTAACATATCGCATATAATGTCGTTTAATATTATGTTAACTTAGAATGCGCTTATTAACGAATATTAATGTTTACACATACATGTGGGGTGCATGGAAGCCACTTAAGCTAGTAGGTGAGTACTCGATACAATGTTACATGTGTTCATAATAGATAATCTTTGTTACAAGTATCACGAGCAATCGTCATTATGAATGTAACAATTTTCCGCATACATATAACTACAAGGAAATAATGTATTTTTAATATTTATGTTATTTTCTATGTATTATTTATTGTGTATGTGTTGTGTTGGTGCGATCGTTTTACACATACAACTTTCAAAAACTATACGTGTATAATTCATTATCTGTTAAATCAATCCAAAGTTTTGACCAACACTTTTTTCATGTGAGAGATTGCAGTGAGCAAGACAAAACTTTCTATTGAGCTAGTGCGGTAACTATCTAAGATCACTTATCATCACCCGAGATCAAAATCAAGTACAGGCTGGTTTTTGGGAGAAAAAAAAAAACACCGCTGTACATGCTCAGGGTAAACTGGTATTAAATAATAAATAAATATTTAGGACACATTTGTACACAACATTTTCTAGTCCCTAACTTAGCAAAGCTTGTCTTACCCAAACTATGGGTACTAGAAAACTGATAAACATACTACTTAAACATGCTTTTCTTTTGTAAAAAAGGATACATATAGAAACACCCAGTCACTGGAAAATCACCATGTTCATCACACAATATTTTTCCAGTAGTGCGTGGTGGTGGTGTGGTAATCGAACCTACATACACCCTCTGGCGCAGGAGGCAGGTACACCCACTACGCCATTCGGGTCGTCAAATATTTGATATTTACTCGTATGTTATTAATTACGTATTTATTTCCTATACTACACTGTTCATGCTCCTAAAAAGAAAGCAAATGATGGATCTTCTCTTTCAACCCTGGAAGTATTAAAACTACGTCGCAACACGATCCGATTGGCGTAAACTATTGAAGTGATCCCACTTGGGGAGTGATCCTAATCCTATCTGTTATCTCTTGTCTGGATACTGTCTCTTGCATCAAAGGGTGCGGGTTCGACCCGCACTACTGGAAATATATTGTTTGATGTACAAACTGTTTTTCTAGTGTCTGAGTATTTAAATGTATTTATTGATAGTTGAAAAGTATGTTTACCCGTTACTTAGTATCCATAACACGAGCTTTGCTCAGTGTGTGAAAAGATAAGGTTATGTTGAAATTTGTCCTGAAGTATTTCTTCATTTCAACTTCTTTGATATGGCGAATGTTCAATGCTCAAAAAAATCGAGAACAAATCCGAATCTGTCATTCGGTCGAACTCATTCGGTGGAAGGCCGGCGGCGTCGCCGTTTACGGTGCTCGACCAACCGCAATATGGGGTCACCTGATAATGGGCGCGCAATTACGCCTGCATTACCCACCCGACTCGTTGCCAGCGCAAATACCCCACTTCTTGTTACGATCAAATGTCTCGGACGTGACTCGCAACGTTGCCGCAAACAGCACGCGTTATTTAGATACGATAGATTGACGCAAATTATTCAAATGCTCGCGCCACGGACTACGATTTACCTCAAGGGCGGAATGGACAACGCGTTTATAAACATCGTAACGGCTTCGACGTTCTAGTGTTGCCAGCGTATTATATAGATTAATGTAATTTGAATGTTGATCGCGAATGAATACCATCCGATAACAATAATTCGTTTTTTTTAATGTTTAGTCGTACTTTTAACCTGCTCTAAAACCATATCACATTAATTATTAAAACTATTTTAAAAAATTGTCTCGCATTATTTAAATAGAATCCGTTTCGTTTTCCAAGCCAAGCGTAAATTTTGTATTGCTTTGCGCTTTTTGTTTTAATAAATGAAGCCCGGTTGAATGTTGACAGTGTTCTCAATGAGTAAATATGTGGAGAATTGTTCGACCGGGAATTACATCTATCATTTCTCTCTTCTCATTTTAATTTTAAGATTGTGTTGATATGAGTTGTATATTAGAATATATGTCATCGTTGAAGTATTATCCGCTGAGTATCTTCATTACATCATTTTAACCGAACTAAATATCTAATATAATTAAAGTTACGTATATATCATATCTATTATAAAAATATCCATTTACAATGTCACACTTCTTCGTGTATTCGGACGATTAACATTGTACGTTTAATAAAACTTTTTGAGTTATGCGTACATAGAGCGCTTATGAGTTTGTGGACGATAAGCACTGATAGTTTCCACAGAGACACGCTATACACTAGCACTTAAAGACAGAAAAGTAATATTGAAGCCATCATACGCGATTCCTGTTGATAGCAAGAGATGAATAACTGCACGTATGGTACGCGACTAAGTGAACGTAGGGCAAATGCCTCGCTTTAATGTTAGTAAAACTGGCGAACATCTGCAGTTTAAAAGCCTTGGATGGCTGTGGCAATGGCTCGACTTAGCTGTCAGGCGTGCGCGTGGGGAACAATCGGGCCGCGGCGTACAATTTGCGCAGTGGCAGCTCCACCAATTTGCGTCCGTCGCCTTCGCCCGCCGTTACTCGGTAAACGCTACTGGAATATTACGCGGCCCGGCTGCGTTCCCTGTTTAAACGTCCAGCCGGGTGGGAAGAACTAATTGCGGGCAATTTTCAAAATCGAGCGGTTAGCCTTCGCGCCCGCTGCGGCTTCCTGCGTTGGCCGCTTGCGAGGGAATGCGGGCGAACACGATTAGTCTCACTGTTCGTAAACACTGCGTCGCGTTTGATTGATAGAATGATTGAGCGTTTCCATATGTTGACTTTCGCCATCTTCGTGGCTGTCGGTTTACAATGATTTGTATAATTTGGCAAGTGTCGTTTTGATCTCGTCTCGCTTTACAAACAACTTTATCATGTCGCTTTTTGGCTGTCTGTGTGCGCGCGCATCGTAAAAATTTTACTCTCATATTTTATTCCAAACACACCATAAGAAGTATAACTTCAATGTAATTTCAAAAGATTTTTTAATTATTTTAACTATACAATAAAATTCGGTAAGTACAATACAAAATGTATAGCTTAGAATATAGAAGACGTTTTAATTTTATGATATTTTGTAATCATGGCAGTAGGTCTGGACTCTCGACGGCAGTTTTGCGTCGGCTACTATTTAATAAGGGTATCATCAAAGCGTGGAGTTGGAACTGATGATTGGTTGCGCCATAGTCGTAGAGAAAATTATCGGACGATCAATAGCTTCTAGATTGCATCTCAATAATGCTTGTTCGCGATATCGTCTAAGATTGCGCGCAGAGCGTGCGCGCCCTCCATCGCTCCGTACGATTTTCTCAAACTAGGAAATACAAAAAATCTTATAGTAGCTCAATTTGCGGGCTTGTAATACGGAGGCGATTGTGTCTGAATCGTCACACGACGCTTATAACGATCGTGAGTTAAGTACCTGTCCTTTTAGTTTTATAAACATTTACCACGCGCCTGGTGCCACCGAAAAATGCGTCCGTGAAAGTTATTAAAGGACATTGTGTATGCGTTTTTTCCTCGCCCGGCGGCGCGTCGGTGACCGACGGTACGCGATAATTGATGACGTCGCGGGCAACCGGTGTCCGCCCATTTTCCGTCAATTTTCGTCACTTGAATGATGGTAGACTGTACCGCCCATGGGCTAGCGCCCCCCCCCCCCCCTATTCCCCTCTCCCCGCACAAAAACAGCGTGGCACGCGCCGCGCTAAATTTAAATGGGATGAACTTGTAACGCGCCCGCCGTCGAGGAATCCGAGAGGAATAAGACGTTCATCATACACATATGATGACAGTTATGCTTTGACGCGTCATCTTTCAAATTTTCAAGTCAAAAAGGTGACGTGTCACTTTGGCTCCTTTTAATCATACGACATATATGCGTTTGCATATATGCAAACGATATATATACGAAAGAGGCTAGATAAAGTATTAATAAAATACAATTTAGATCCGAGTACGCCATCAAACTACACCACAGGATTCAATAAGCCCTTTCTGCGTAAATCGGTTTGAGATTAATACTTCTCCGGGTAGTCCGGGTTTATAACACCAGAATTTCTAAAAGCTCAGTCCATCCCGTGACCACAGTGTAAAGTAATTGCATCGTTGGGTATTTTTATTCAATAAATTGCGATAAAATCTGTTTTATCAAGTGATGTTCTAACAAAAGTTTTGTTTCACATCAAAAATATACCTAAATATCGGTAGTTTTGATTAAGTTCTGTCCTTAGAGTGTGCAGCGATAAAATTGCTTAACAGTAGAAGTCGAAAGAGGGAAATCAAACCAAAGACGTCTCATCTCCCCATAGGCAGTGTCACTTATAGACAAAGTGCTACCTTATTTTCCCCTCACTAAGTCCGTGGGGACACAAATACGCTGCGGAGCGTTTAATGAACACATAAACCGGAGAGAGGCAGACAAAGGCATTTCTCCGTTGCTATGGCAACGCCGTATAAGTACGTTAAAATACTGTTTACGTACGTTTAAATACTGTAATTGTAAAGAATTTTTTATCCCCCGACTTTACATGTTGCGAAATGTCCCTTTAAACTTTTATAATATTCATATATATATTAGTGATGTATTTCACAAAATGGAATATAACTTTTTATAACAAACCCCTTCATGTAACTTGTTTGCTTCATATAACTTGCCTCAAACCCTTTGAGAGCCAATCAGTACCAAGAGTTTTGATTTGAATATACTGAAAAGCTCTATCAAACATACGTATATTAATAAAACTGTTCTTTTATGCGAAAAGTAAGCTAGCGAGGAGGCCTTTCGCCTTATGTTATTTGAATGCGTTGTCCACCATTAAAGACGGGGGCCCCGTTTACCTCACTAACCAGATGAAACGCGAAGTATATTACTATACTTCTATTTCATTGCAGTCTCGTGTGAGGCCGTAGTACTCCCATTTGTTTTTCAACAGAAGTTAAGTTCCTCTTAGTTTTTGTAGGCATAATGACATTAAGAGTGATCCGTATACCATGAGTACTGTTATCACTGTATATTAATCACACTACATCAACAATTAGTGTATTAATTAAATTTAACTCAAGCGTCAGCGTCTCTTAACAAAAATTGGCCTAACAAATCGACGGGCAATTTCGCACCATGATCGTTCCATGACCGGTCGAAGTCTGTGTATTAAATGGGCAATTGTGCGGTTTAAATGTAATTGAAAGTAACATCACATTTTCAGATGTAATCGTTTACGCCATGAAGTATATGGCGGGCGACGAGACGCGTAAGATCTTTTGATTTATGACTGTGCTGTGTGTTTCCGAAGCTTCGCGCGTTTAACATTGTACTAATTTCATGTATGTGTGAGTCGGTTCTTTGATTTACTTGAAGACCGTACCACTCGTTTTGATGTTCGGTACTTGGAAAGGAACTATTTTAGAAAGAATATTGCTTATAAATAGTAAAAAATATAGAGATGCAAAAGAAATTTAAAGATCACTTAAAGTTATCTCGTATGAGAAGAAAGTTATAGATTTAATGGATGGCGTACAAAATATTTTTATTGACTTAAAGTGTGCTCTACTTAATTTTATCTTATGAAATATGTAAAATTGATTCATACTACATATATTGGTTAAAAATCAGTTCATGCGATGTAAATAGGATTACCTAGCTACTGTTATACCATCTAGACTGCGTCGTCGTCCTATTACCATTAAATGCTACAGCCAACCAGTCTGGGCAGTCCCATAAAAGCTAAAAATTCAGATTAAGTATCTGAAATTTGTGAATGTCGGATTACTTTGTTCACATTAAACCTTAATTCAAATTCTGTCATCACTTAACAGTTGAACACTAAATACCCTTCGCATGTGGTATCGTATACAGATATAATAAACGCTTAGCATTCCACAAGGTTGGTTTCGTGAAGCATTTACAAAGTAACAGTCGCCCCATTAAATTCACAATGTCCCATTGAATGTGAGAGCAGAGACAAAGCATGATATCACTGCGGGCCGGTTGACGCAAGCAGTTGTAAATCGAGTGGGGGCGAGGCTGAATCGATACTCCCGCGATAGCGCGCTTTATTACCTACCAAACATAAAACCGAGAGCCGAGAATCGGCGTCGATAATTATTAACGGGCTGTGTCGATGAGCGCTGCGAGTTAGATGTAACACAGATAAACCCTGGCTGGCGATGGAGGCGCTTAAAAAATAATCCAAACTTTTGTACCGACGCCATCCCGCGGAGGGTTCGACGGCGTCACGCTGCCTACACACGACGGAAACGCTCAGCGCATGCATTATTCAAAAGCGAAGGCAAATACAAATAAATAGGCACGAAATAAATACAAACAGTCTGAATGGAGCCACGTCGGTGGGCGGGGCCACGCGACATAAATATCGGTCGGGCTTCATAAGAGCGGATATCTTGTGGGCTATTTCGGACTCGACGTCTTCGCCCTGAGTCGGCTAGTTTATGGGTGTCTACGTGTTGCTGGGCCCGTCTGTCTTGGCGTGTAGATAAAACAATCTGCACGCGGTGATGAGGTCAACGACCCTGTACTGTCACATTTTTGGATGACACACCTACACCTGTGACGACGCGACACGTAATATACTTGTAAGCATAATTGTGTTAATGACACGGAACACATTATACTACCCAATTATAAATATTAAAATGTCTTGTATACATTTTAATAATGCCCGCTTGTTCATTGTATTATACACAAGAACACAGACAAGAGCGCAGCTTTTTAAAAAAAATCATTTTTTAATTTACTGTAAACTGTCACAAATTAACCCCTTGGCCGTCTTATTTAGGAATAATCACACTTCGACTGTTGAAATTACTGGCCTCACTTTTGCATATTAATGTTTTAATCATTTAATGAGAAGCAGCTGCAGATATATTGTAGTATAGTATCGTAATGACGCACAAAAAGGGTCACTTACATTATAAATGTCGTATTTATTATCAAACGTGCCTGCATTTAAGGCATATGCTGAAGAGCTGCCAATTCTCTCGGCTCAAATTACGCGCAATTTATATCTCAGCCGCCAGACGACATTAGCATTTAATAATTTGCAAAAACTTATCAACAAAACATATTCGGATGAGATTTTGCTGCTGCTAACCGTAATCGCAAAGCACGTTCAAATTATCCGTTTATAATTTAAAGCTGTTAAGTTAGATAAGAAACATACAAATACTAATAAAGGTAATCGGTTATTCATTCAAACACCATAAAATTTATCATAGAAGGTGTCCTCATGTTTTACCAATTTGCCAATATCATGAGAGATGAGAATTATAGTGGACTCAAATTCTGGTTTGGCACATCAGTTTACGAGTTTTATTTGCTTAAAAGTTGTGAAGTCACTTTCCATTATATAAAACATGAACTTTCTTTTCTCGAACTCTCTGATCTATTATTACTGTTATTTATTATTAATTTTAATATTTCGTTGTACATTTGTCTATTGGGATATTCTAAGTCTGTCAAACTGCGCGATGTTTCAGCACATCGTAAAAAAGGTTTAAAGTTTTAAATAAGGTTTTGGTACTTCGCATTGTTTAATGGAATATAATTGTCGGGTAATTTGCGGGACGTT